GTCTGTATAACTACACTAAAATGTCTAGAAACATTGCTAGCAAACACTAATGCAACATAAAGCATTATTTTAAGATATAGTTACCCTCAGCCAAAATCTGAATTGTTTAGAAAGATTCACTGGCTACCTAACTAAAAAGAGGGACGTAATAACAACTTATTTCCAACATGGAGAGGCCTAAATTCACTTAGCAGTTTAAAATCATTAGGCCACAGTACTATTAAATGAGTTTATGACTTAAAATGTTTCTGAATGCCTAGTAAAAAAAAAAAAGCAGCTTCTCTTGTCTAATTCCAATCTCAAAGTCCCTGAAGCATTCCTTTTGTTGCAGTCAACTTCATTTGTCTGTTATTGACTCCTCAGATGACTTGAGGGGAAGTAATTTCCAAAATGTTGATTTTTCTCACTGGCAAAATAAGAGGAGTATCCACTCCATTGGCTAGCAACCCTAAGGGTGAGAATAAAATTATAAACTGCTCAATTTCATAAGAAAATTGTCTTCCACATTACCTGTCCACAACTTAATCCACAAAACAGGTAATTTACAGAGTCAGTCGAGAAATGAGTAAAATGACTGGCAAGAGAAGCACAATTTGCGAGGGTCGAGTTATGTGTGGCCCAGAAGGGCAGCAGGGAAACTGAAGGTGCATTGCAGTGAAGGTGTTTCCAGGAGTGTGGGCTAAAAACACAACTATGGATAAACTATATTTCAGAGTAAAGAGGAAAACAGAAGGGGATCTTATAAAGCTACCTATGACTTGATGAACTTTCCTTTCATCAGCCTTTAAAATTACAGTTGCTTCTGAAACTGAAATCTAGATCCCCTTGGCTGAATTTTAAGTTTTCCAGAGCTTTTATCATTGCTGTCTGGAAGAGCAGGAAGGGATATTTAAAAAAAAAAAAAAAAAGGAAGTGAAAAAAGATGTTATCATCCCAGAAGCCAAAATGAATCAATTTTGTGATGGCATCTGCTACTTTCCTTTTAACGTCACAAAGAGTAACAATAGAAACTTTATACTCAATAGATAACTTTATATTGATGACAAACATCTTTATAAAATTAACCATATTACCCACTATAACTAGCTCTCTTACACGGTTAAATAACATAAAATTAAAAATTACTGGGTGATTAAACTACAAGTATACCAATTCTGAGCTTCTGAATGAACAAACTGCATGTACACTTGGCAAAGGAAAACAGGAGGAGAACAGAAGCAATGAGTCAAATGGGCTGCCAGAAATCAATTTTCTTTTTCCGGGTGGTGGTGGTGGAGGTAAAGAACAGAGGACTAAATTTGCTATAAACATAAACATGGTTTATTATCAGGTTATGATGAGTATAAAGCTGAGATTTCAACTGGGAATTGCTGTTATAATAAAAAAATACGAATATCTATTGCACAGTACATGCCCTGCAGCAAAGTTAATTGCAGGAAATTTCACAAGTAACTCCCTGCTCCCTACCATATTATACAGTAGAGGTGTTGGAACAAGTTTTAGTTACCAAGCTAAGCCTTCTGCTTTTCAGTTGAATATTCGTGTTAACTTGCCAATTTTCTCCTATTAGTTGTTTCATATTAAATTAATTTTTTTGTCCTTTGAACTAAAATTCTCTCAAGAATCACAGCAGGAAATTGAATGATTCAAAATTCACCAATTATGAACTAACCTTCGATGCCAGAGGGTTTAGCAGCTTGCAATAAAAATTCAGTTTAGATCTCAAGATCAGATAGGTCTAAAAGAAACTTCAAGGTTATTTGAAGCAACCCTTTCTACCAGTACATTCACATAAATTGTATTTACCTGTTCCTAAAACTTTCCATGAAAGAAATATTGAATTTTCTTGAGGAATAGTTTGGGTTTGTGCAAAATGTCAAAACAATTCTCCCATGCTGAGTATAATTTTGACTACACTCTAAAAATATTTTCTCTGTGGTTTCCTAAACTTACCTGTGTGTCCGTGCTCTTGTATTATGAACACTTATCGGTAACTCATACACATGTAACATGGAAATCAAAATTCGCTTTGACCAATGTGGTTTAATTCTTGTTACTTACTAAATGCTTTGCAAGGTAATACAAGAACATATTCTAACATTTTATAGATGTGATGAAACCTTAAGTCATGTTGGCCTTTCGCTTCAAAGTCTATTGTGAACCTCATACACCTGCTGGCGGGAATGTACAATAGTACTGCTTTGAAAAAAGGTCAGTTCCTCAAATGGTTAAACAAAGCTGCCATATCATCCAGCAATTCTATGCCTAGGTACATACCCAAGAGAAATGAAAACATAGGTCTACATAGAAACTTGTGCACAAATATTTATAGAGGTACTATCCATAATGGCTAAAAAGGTGTAAACAATCCAAATTATGACCTGACAGATAAAAATGACATCCGTACAATGCAGGATTATTTGGCCATAAAAAAAGAAAGAAGTGTTGATACATGCTACAACATTGATGGATGCTGAAAACATCATATGAAATGAAAAAAAGTCACAAAAGTGCATGTATTGTATAATTCCATTTATAAGAAATGTCCAGAATAGGCAAATCTATACAAACAGAAAGTAGGTTAGTTGTTGCCTAGGGCCCAGAGATAAGGGGTTGACAGCTAAAGGGTACAGGGTTTCCTTTTGAGGTGATGAAAATGTTCTATGATAACAATGTGGTAATGGTTGTACATAACTGAATATACTAAAAACTACCTAAATGGCATATTTTACATATGTGAATTATAATTTAATAAAACTGTTATTTTTTTAAAAAGTGTTCTGAGACGTGAAGTACTTGAAAATAAGCAAACCTCTTCCACAAAGCTTTTCTGGTCAATAGTAAAAGAATTAGTTAAACTAAAATCCAATTTACTTTATTGTAATTGGAACCAGCTTGCAGTATTTCCTTATGTATATTTCTAAAATGTGAATGCAATTTAAGAAAACACATCATTACATCAGATATTCCAGGCAGCCTGCCATAAGACATTTTTACCAAAAATATCATCTTAAAAGGAATCCATTTAATCAATCTCAGAGTATATGTTCTTTCTTGTCACCTCATCTCCTCATAAGCTGTTGTTTCCTTAAAATGCTCATGTTAATAACAGTACTGGGCATGATCAATTCACTCATTAATTCAACAAATATCTGAACCCTTACTGCATACTAGCCACTGTTTTAGGCACTTGCCCACACATGCACACTTATACGAGAGACAAAGTCCCTGCTCTTGTGGAGCTTACAATCCGATAGAACAAGCTAAATAATAAACAAATTTTAGGGTTTTTCAAAGAGGGTGCTGTGCTATGGAGGGGTGTTATTTTAAATGGAATGTCTAGGAAAGGAGGCTTCTCTGAGGAAGCATGTTTCAGATGAGAAAAGAAGGTGCCAGGCACACAAAGATCAGGGATAGTAACTCCAGGCAGAGGAAATAACTCCTGAACGAATCAGGAGGAGAGGGGGATAAAAAGAATTAACTGTGTGCTGTGGGTGATCAGCCTTACTTTGTGATTCTCACGCACCGTCCTAGTACAAGGTGACTCGTAGACTGGATGGAATAAGGGGTCTTGAGTACCTTAAAGATCACTAAAAGGTCTCGTAACTCTTCAACGAAAGACAGCCATCTGTGGTTAACCCTGACCTGAAGTGATTCCCTCTCCCGTACCTCTCAGCAACCGCTTGTTGTCTGGGCCACTCATTCTTACACACACTGGTGTGAGACACCGTGCTGGGAGTGCCAGGACTTAAACACAAATCAGATGGGCATCCTGACAGCCTTTAGGGCAGGAAATAATCCAGTAGCACAAAAGATGTAGGTGCAAACAACGAACATAAGGTAGAAAGTAAAAGCAGGCCACAAGAAAAAGAGCTATAAAATGTAGGCATGTCCAGAGATTACTTCCATCTGGAGCATCAGGGAACGCTTCATGGGGTAGGGGCATGAGAGCATGGAGAGTCTATGAAGCCCGAGGACTTGGACACGTGGAGAGGACAGACAGATTTGTTGTATCCCTAATTGACTTTAAAAATATTTAGAAGTATTTTTAGCTCCCCAGCCAAACTGGGGAGCTCATGGGGAGAAAGTCTAATACAATCTCTCTCTCTGATCTCAATTTATGTGTTAATTCACTGCTAAGAGGTGAGATGTCAATTTCAGAACTGAAGGTAAGGCTAAATTATTCTTTGCTTCATAATGAAGTTTTGACCTTTGAAACAGATGATCCCCCAAACCTCCTAATATATCATCTCATTTCACAGGGACATTCTTAAGAGTTTTTCCAAAACTAAAAGGCATTACAGATAAACATGTATACAATGTGCTTTGGAATACACATGTATTTGGAATACACAAATATATAAAATGTTTGCATATGTATTTATGTGTCTCCATATGTGTATCACTATACCTTTATTTCAGAATCTTACAAGATGATTGTAAACTTCCACTGCTAACCCGAAGTTTGTACTCATGAGAAAATACTTCTTTCACTGATCAAATTTTCCCACCAGGACTTCAAAATCCCTTCCCATTCCCAACAAAACATCTTAAACCAGAGAAGAAAATCCAAACAACATTTTTTTAGGCAGTGTCTCAACATCTCTAAAAAATATTCCATGGCCAAACTCACCATAGAGAGCTGTCCAAGTTTGATTAATTACATCTAGACACACAGTTCCTGACCTGAAACAGATGGAAAGAACGGCATTTTTTTAAAAATTAGAAAGTTAGTTGCATATATCTGGCAACTAATTTTATTATCAGGAAAAATATTTTTATTAGTTCATATTAAAAAACCCCCAAAGAATCCCAGTTGGGGAAAGTATGAGGAAGAGCAGACTATATACAAGGTCTTAAGTGTCTCCTTACAGATTGAAAGGGAAAAACCGTAACTATACAACGGAGAAACCAGACAACACCTTAACCAGGTGGTCAGAATTAACACAGGTAATCAGGACAGAGAGACTGTGTGCCTCTGAACAGGACACCCTGAAGAGGACACAATCTCACTGTGTGGTTTTCTCACCTTAAACGCAGACTCTGAACCTTAGAAGGAAAAATCACACAAACCCAAACTGAGAGACATCTATACAATAACTGGTCTTTATTCTTTAAAAATTTTATAAAAAGGTGAGGAACTGTTCCAGGTTAAAGTAGTTTAAAGAAACACGGCAACTAAGTGTAATACATGATACTGGACTGGATCCTTTAATAAACGAAAAAAAAAAGGTGCTAAAAAAGTACATAACTGGAATATGGCAGCAGATGAAAAAGTACTGCATTAATACTCAGTTCCTGAATCTGAGGACGATACTGTGGTTACATAAGAGAACATCTCTGTCATTAGGATGACTGATACAGGAAAGCATTAAAGGACAATGGGGTGTGATGTATATGTAAAACCTACTCTCACAGTTCGTAATACTTCACATGTACATGCATGTGGATAATACCAAAATTTAGTGGCACGAGAAAGAAAAACTGCAGGACAAATGTCTTCTAAACAGCACTGGAAGTGCAAAGTGGGAGGCATTAGTATCACATTTTTAAATATCACTAATAAAATGTCAGAAGAAAGGGACAATTAAGATTCATTAACTGAAATCAAACTACTTATTCATGTTTGCTTTACTCTCAAGAATTGAGAAATACTTTAAGGGCTGAAAATAATAATCTGTAAGCTGAAAACAGATCTCTGAATTGTGTCTATACAAAGAGAATGGAGAGTGGAATATTACAAATGTTAGCTGGGTATCAAGGGAAATGATGGACCCATCCATGACAATGGAAAAATCCAAGCAGTCCAACAGTAGATTCTGAACTAAGTGGTTTAGAATATCATATTCCCGGAATTCCACAGTTTAAATGACCATTCTTACAGTTCTATCTGTTGATAAAATCCAAAAAGGTAACTGAGGCTTTTTTTTTATAATGAAGAGAGAGATGAACTCTAATCAAGAGTGGTTGCTGCTAAGTTTTAAACATTTTAAATAGTTACTTACGCTTCATCAATGTTGGGATGGAAAATTTTATTCATGAATCCTGTAAAAAGAGATGTTCATTAGCAGCAAAAAGTATCCAGAGAATTACCAGTTTTAAAGTATTTCAGTGCTGGAAACAATTTCAGTAGTAGAAAAGGTGATGGTACCCGTAACTCATTACTTTCAATTTTAGATCTTTGTTTACTGGTAAGAACATACTCCCCTGACAGTGTCGCTTAAAGTACACCAGAGTTCTATTAATCAAATGAGCAAAACTCTAGTGAGAGCAATGCGGCTTCTAATACAAAAACGTCATTAAAAGAAACTGTTTTCTGAGCTATGGAGGTACTTGCCAAGAAGATGTATAGTACTAAATGGCTTATAACTAGTGCCATGATAAAAAGTTAAGCTACTCTTGACTTCCCTTCCAAAAGTTTTATTGTTCAACTTCTAAATGTGGAGGTTCTGCATTTGAACTTCTCCTTCTGTAGCTCAGTTACTGGCATCATTCTGCTATACCGTGTGCAGAACATGAATGAAGCTGTTGAAACGCTAAAGAAGTTCTCTTCCAAACCACAAATGATTTCATAAGAATAGTGACCAAAATATTTCCTTTAATTTTATAGTCTATTCATTCCAGGAAACCCAGTTTTGATTAAAATTGGGGCAACCAAGAAATTAGGCAAAGAGTTAAAAAAAATTCCATAGGATGGCTATATCTGTCAGAGATTCAAGTTTTTTTATTTGTTCCTAGAAAAACAAGTATATATATATGTATATACATATACATACTTTTAAACAAATATATTGACATTTAAATTCCAAGGAGAAATTAATTTATTTTCTAACTTAAAACTAGTGATTTAATCAGTCTGTGTATAAACAAATGACAACATGCTAAAGCAGATCCACTGTCAAAGCTGTCACTTTGTCATCTTTATCACCTCACTTCCTTTTACAACTTCCTCATTCTGTTCCATCCTTTGAATAAATTGAAGTTCTTTACTAAAGCGCCCATCACTATGTCCCAATCCCACCCTCACCCCTTCACCTCACATAGGTTCTCTTTCATTCATTCAAAATATGTTTGGTCAACACCTATGTGTCAGGCACAGTGTTTATTTTGGGTACAAAACCAAATAAGACAGAATACTCTTCTGGAGGAGGTCACTGGAACAGTGGGACAAGAGACATGAAGAAATAACTGCAATGTGCACAAAGAGGTGACTGACAGTCGGGGTAGCACATTTGGGGAGAGGAAGGTGTCAGGAAAGATGCAGACAAGTGGCATCAAAGGAGGATCCTCAAGGATGAGGTGACAGTGGTCATCTCTGAAAATCTAAGAAAATTCTCTAGCTTAGAAAATGAGGCTAAGACTATGAAATCTCAGGTATTTCCAGTCTCACTTGCTCTAGCCACTCCAAGTACTAACCAGGCTTCTAATTTTTGTTTTTTTAATCTTTTGTGTTGAAATAGCTTAATGTTTTATCCTCTAACATCAAGAGAGGCCTATGCCATGTTTAAATTACTCTGATGCAAAAAGACTTGTGCCCAATTACTATTTCATACTAATTTTACCATAAAGATGTTTCAAAGTCTGTATTTAAAAGGTATGTGTTTCTGAAGAGATTATACTTAGCCAATGGAAACTTTCATGTCTTAATATTAAGAGAAGAAAAAACAGAATAAAAATTCTATGTAACCCTAGAAAAGCACTAACACACATGTCCAAGAAGATTCACAAGGATATCTGTTGCAGCATTGTTTAAAAAAGCCAAGAACCAAATTCAACCCCATCAACAAGGGACTGGAGCAACTTGTAGTACATCCATATACTGGGAGTCCCACACAGCCAAGATAGTGAACTAGGTCAGTACGTATCAAATTGGATACAGCCAAAGCTGAGGGGGGAAAATAAGTTACAAAATGATGTATTTATAGCATGATACCATTTACATAAACTAAAACAAAGCAACACTACATATTCTCTATGGTAACAAGTATAGAAAACTGTGCTGGACCAACTTAAACCAAATTTACAAGAGTTAATTACTTCAGTGAGGGTGCAGGGCCAAGGTCATGGTGGGAAAAGGGAACAGAATGAGAAACGGTGATCAAAGAATTTATCTGTAAAACTATATTCCTTTAAAAAAGAGATACTGCTTGCTTTGGCAGGACATATACTAAAAAGAGATAATGTGCTTGTATATTATTTGCTCTGCTTAAAAAAAGTGTGTATGTACACATAGATAAAAAAGTGGAAGCAAACATGTACAGCTATTAATAGCACTTAATTCTTGGTGGGAATATTTTCTCTGTTATCCTTTTCAAACCACTCCCACTCCTATACCAGAAGCAGGAGCACAGCAATGGAAAAAGGCTGCAAGGAAACAAGCGTCAGCAGTAGTCAACTCTGAGAGACTCTCCCATAATTTCTTCTACTACTATTCTTCTGACTTTCCAAAATTTCTATAATGTGTAATTTTAATAGTTGGAAAAAACTTTCAATTGAAAAATTATGAATAGCAGCAATCACTCTAAAGTAGACCTAATTATACATAGGTTATCTAGTGCTAAACCCATCTAAGGAAGTCACTAAAATCAGCTATTTTATTTGAGATCTCATATCTTAAACACTCTTGTTTAAATAATACTAATTCGTTACAAAAGTCAGAAGATCCTCAGGTTATAAAGTCTGCAGTCTTCAAGGTTAGTTACATATAGGAATGTACGGTTATTACAACAGCCCAGAAACTTCCTGATGAGTGGGAAACATTAATGTTGCTACTATATGGGTTTAATTTAGGGACTTGTTCTATTATGCAAAACATATTTTGCTTGAAGCTACAATTAAGAACTTGAAACTCATTCTTGATACTTAAAATCCTGCCCCTGATAAGAATTCTCATAAGTAATATCAAGTGAAGCAACCTTGTCTATGGCAAAAGTTCCCAATACGGCCTCCAGGTTAAGAATGACCTGGAAAGTTCTTTAGAAAACAAAAGTGCTCTGTTAAGAGAAGGTGGCAAGTTTTCTGGAGGAAAACACAGAAAAGAAGGGGACCTGGAATAGGAATGCTGAGGTGGGAGCTGCATCTTTAAATAGGATGGGGAGGGAGAGCCTTACTGAGAAGGTGGCTCAATTTGAAGGAGGTGAAGGAGTCATTCAGCATCTGGGGGGAGAGTGTGTACAAAGCATGAACAGCCAAGTGCACCGTGCATCATGAGTCTGCTTGATGTGTTTGAAGACCAGCACAGAGACTAGTGAAACTGAAGTGGAATGAATATGGAGAAGACAAGAAGTGAGGTCAGAGAGGTGGTGAGCATTTGTGGTCTTATTAAGGATGCTGGCTTTCATTCTGAGGGAGGTGGCAAGCCAATGAGACTGCTGCTAGAACATCGACATACAAATCCTTTAAATTTTTGTGTTTGTTTTTAACAACAGGCTTATCTCCAAAACAAAAGGCTAATCAGGAAACAGCTCAATCAGGTCACAGCACCTCAGTGCTGGGGAATGGCAGATCTCAAGGAAAACAGAATGGGCCGTCTCTTCTACAGTAAGAATAAGCTTCAATAATCTGTTGTCACAGGGAACCTCAAAGGCATAAGCAAACAGCTATGGTGAAGAGAGCTTTAAATGTTTATCAGAACTGTCTCTGAAAGATTAAGGAGATTACATTTGGAATCAATATAGTTTCCACACTGTTTCCAGTTAAATCTAGACTTTTGGTTTGGTTGAGTCCAAGACTGCATAATAAAGAGGGCCAAAAAGGGCTTAGTAAACATATTCTCTAGCAATAAATGGGTTGGAGCCCAGTCCCCAGTGCCCCTGCTAAATATAAAGCCCCATCTGAGCTCTGAGACAGAGGGCAGACCCGCACTGGAAAGAGGAAAGTACTAATAGGAACTTGGCTACTAGTCCCAACTCTATTAACTGCAGGCCTTGAGCAGGTCACCATACTTTTGTGGCTCTGTTTCTTTACCTACAAAGAGAAATAGTTGGATTATATGATCTCCAAAATCTCCACTCTTCCTGTTTGTAAAAGGACCATCAACTCTAATATCTAGGGTTTAATAACAATAGCCAAAGCTCTGAGAATAGAGGACTTAAGGGGAAATGTAAGGCACACTTTCAGTACAGAAGTCTTCTGGAGAATATAATACAAAGCTACCAACATACTAAAATACTGCAAAGAGACACAAAACCCGCTGACTATTCCAAAGTAGGCAGAAACAGTTTATAACCTTGCCTTTGAGGAACAAGCATAGCCAGACCAATTCTACCAAAAAACAATTTCCACACTATAACCATCTCTTCCTATGCTAGGCTTTTTCAATTGTTAGAAAAATACCCAAAGCAAATAAATGGAAAGGGGCGTAAGTATCTCCTTTATATTTGTTCTTGGACAAGCTGTGGACAGCATTTCTGGCAAAGCCATTTACATTCTGGATCATGACGACAACAATGGAACTTCTGGACAAGGAGGGAAGGAGACGAAGAAAGAACAAGCTAGGAATTCAGAGAAGGAACATTCTCAGGACTGAGCGTGTTTGCCCTGGCATGTTTTCCTTCCTTTTGGCAATGCTATCACCACACTAATGAATATGTCTGCCACAAGAGAATTTTCCCAACACTTGTTTCCATTCGACCAGGAACTATTTTGAAGATATTTTAAGAGAACATATTTTGAAAACTGTTTGTAATGGAAACATAAGTAGAAGCAGCAAGTCATTTTTAATCCACATGATTTAAGATTTTATTCACTATCAGACATTTTCTAACGATAAATCACAGTGATTTGGTCAGATAAAACTCAAAGCTCCGTTGTTTGAAATCTTTTGGGCAATTATTCTCTGACGTGGCTCAAGCTCTTGTGAAAAGGGGACAACAGGTACAAATGCTAAGCTAAAAAGTTAACCATCTCTATCCTCTATCTTTTATTAGAAGGGAATCAGGAGATTTGTAATTCTGGAGAAAGATCCAAACCATGCTTTTAGTTGATGCAAAACTATGTATCTTTAAAAATAAAAGCACAGATTATTAAAACAGGAAAATATGCCA